GTGCGCCATGTGCCCGTTTCTTGCAGTAGTCCGCGTGAATTCGGCTCCACACCTAGGGCATGAGCTTTTCGAGGCGGTCCCTGACTTCTCTCGTTGATGTCGTAAAAGGTTACTGAACGTAGAGAACTGCCGTCCGTTACATCCATGCTCCCAGCATTGCGGCTTCGGTCTAGAGTTCACAACACGTGGCTGCATTGCACTGCCCTGCGTACTTGGAGATGAAGATAGCGCAGGTACTGGACCACCAGCCGGCGGGCCACTCTGCGAAGACTCGTACGATGGATACGCGGCAGGTGTCGTAGAACTTGGAGGGTACATAGTCGGCAGTGGGTGGTGATAATCGCTAGTACCATAAGTAGTTGGAGGGTACGGCTGTGGACTTTCTTCAATCAGTGGAAAGCTTCGCTAGGCGCTTAATTTGACTTACGGCGAGTAAGAGTTGCTTCCCATCGACTGGCTCGGAACACTATTGTGCGGGGCCGAATAGGAGTAGGAATGGGCCGTAGAAGACATCGGAGATGCATGTCCTCGCATCGAATCAACGGGCTGGTGCTGTTGGTAGGGGCTACGTGGAAGAGATGGATGCTGAGGCTGATAAGGCGGTAGAATGTTATGTTGATCGGATCTTCTTTGCTGGCTGTCGTTGGGCAGCGGACTCGAAGCATAGGATGAGCTGTATGGATTTGACGCTGATGATCTTGGTTCTGCGTAAGACTGCAGAGGTGGGTAGCCCGACGAGTAAGACGTCTGTGGAGAGCCGTAGTGGCCCATTCCGTACTGCGAAGATGGCATCATGAAGCCCAAGGTGCTGTCGATATTAGAACAGGCTCAATTCTTGAGGGCTGATAGAGTGATATACCTCATATCTTGCAGTTCCAAGAACGAATCGTCCGACTGTCCGACGTCAACCGGCAGTTGTAGCTCGAGGTCGTGATTACCAGAAACAGACGTTAATGGCGATGGGAAGAAGGTCAGCGCTCGGCTGGGCTGGCTGTGCGGAGTGCGCAGCGACTGTGGGCTAACGCTATGCGCAAGTCCTGGATTGGAGTCTTGGAGTGGCTCGTGGTGTGCAGAATATGTTGTTTGCGCAAGAGACGAGTCGGGAGACCTATCTCGATGAGAGGTCAATAAATGGAAGGAGCTGTCAGGTGGAATGTCTTCGAGAACGTGTGAAGTATTCCAGGCTAGCGAAAGTGGGTGCGACCCGGGCGTCTGATAATCAATGGGATTGTGGCGGGGCGTTTGCAAGTTTGCGGCACGGTGGGAGCGAGCTCCTCTTATTTGTGGAATTTCTGGTGGCTGAACAGATAGGTTCTGGTCGGCACGGTCCCTAAGTCTTCGTGAGATGGTCGTCGTCTTGGGTTGATGTGGTTTGGGAGACCGATCGGTCATGTTCAATAATGGAAAGGCAACATTTGATGCGGAAGGTACCAGTGGGGTTGACGTACGTTCGCGTTCCTGAGTACGGCCCGTCGGGAGGAATTATACCAGCCTTATGGCAACTTGACTGCGAGGCAGAATCACGTATCAAACCTTGACATTTGATGGTCTGCGCCCTACATGGGGGAAACTGGACGCACAGGAACAGAGCATCTGAGCTTCATGATCCAACAGCAACAGAGCCGGCTTTGCGGCTGCGGACTGGTTGGAGCCTCGAAGGATCCGTATCCTGGTATCGAACCCAAGCCCTCCGACCGTTGACTAGCCACAGGACGTGCACCCGCGATGGGTGCCTGGCAGGTCTGGGCCGGGGTACCCACGCACCAGCGAGAATTGCGCGACTCTGTCTAGGATGGATGAAAGCAGGTATGCCTGTTAGTCTGCCGACGATGTCTTCGCCATAACCCCCACTACTTGTCCGAAAGCCAGCCCCTGTCAATTAGCGAGTGATGCCATCGCCGCAAGTAGTGTTGGCGAAGCCACGAATACTGGCGTGGATGGATGCCTCATTCACCAAGCAGAGGGTTGGTGGCGCTCACGATCCCGCGCCTGTGACGAGGAGCCATGCCGCGTTGAGTCTGGTATAAGGAATGACCTGTCAGATCCCTCTACGTTAGCCGCGGGTGGGTCGCAATAACGCACGATAGACAGAATGTGGGTGTTGTCGGGTAACATGCAGTCGAAAGAGGAGTGGCGTAAGCCCAGCTTCATCTCGAATATTACTGGCACTGCCACGAGAGCCACGAGAGTATGCTGTTCATGAACCCAAATCGCGTGTCATGCTCTGCCGGTGCACAGCTCATCGAGCGGTTCTAATTTTGGCTCGCTGCAGTGTTGCCCGAGCACGTGCTGGGCACTGCCTAAGCGGCCCGTTGTCTTTCGGAAGCGCTGCCGTTAATGTGAACGACGAGAATTAGGCGGCACGCCTACGGTGTCGGAGCTTCTGGAATCCATCTCGAAGCTCAAGAAGAAGTTGTGTGGCTTTCTGTACGCGACTTCGAAGGAGTGTGACTGAAGCCGAGGTGGGATGCTGAGGTGTCCGCGCGTTTCGGAGGGGCACGCAGTGCCGCCGTTCACGGTAGACATCCATCGCGGGCCCACCGTACGAACAGCTCGACTCTTGATGTAGTTGTGGAGACTGGAGTTCGGCTCCTCAGAACTGCGGCCAAAGCAATGAATGCGAGCACAGCTACTGTCTGAAGGAAGTCGTAGCCGCTACTACGAGTGCCAAGGTTTCATTGATTGGTCGCAGCCATGCGTCGCCTCTCCAATTGCGACTCTACGCTTCCCTCCTGAACAGCCTCTCATTAAAAACACAAATCAGATCCCGTCCGTTCTCGACTTCGAAGCGGGTCAATTGTGCGTGGATCCACTGCGTCGGGGTCGACTTAAGCCGACTTCGTCCATCCGCGACCGCGCAAAAGATGCCTGCCGGCGCCGGCAGCGACCTTGGAACTGTTCGGCTTCATCCTAGCTCTGGCATCCATGCAGGCCCATCACCTCATTTGAGCGCTCGTACCACTGAGAACATTGGCCTCAATACACGAGATAGCCGCTTATGGAACGAAGACATTGCTGAGCCGCACCCTACTCGCCGACATCTTCGTTGTTGTTCGGCGTTAACACTACGGCGACCACATGACGGCGACCTGAGTCCTAACGCCCCGCCACTTGAGGCTCAGCCCTGGATGCAACTATATCGACATACAACTTCTAGCCGCTGGCACGCCTAATGATCAGATGGTACGATGCACCTGCCATGGCACGGAGCGAATCTTGGATGTTCATGCGAAACCAGGATGATCTAGGATCGCCCTGGCCGGGCGCAGGGGCTGTAGTCTCCGCACTACCGTTATCGCACTACAATCACAGTTGTCACATTCCTCATACGATACCTCCTACACCTAATAAGTCGCACTATGTTCAACTTCGGAGATCATAGCTTCTCTGCCATGGATTCTATAGCGACCCATGGGGCGCCTTTAAGCGATGTGGATTCCGGGCAGGTTCGCAGCGCCAGTGACAAGTAACTTGTTCACCCATACGTCTACAAGCGGGGGGGACCCGCCTGCACTCTTGAGTTGCTGGGATAGAACAGTCTACGCACTTGCAACAACTAGTAGCAGCAACACAAGGCGGCTGTGTTGATGAACCGTTAACACAACAGTTGTATAGGCACCCACACAGATGTGTGACTTGTCACTTTCATCATACTTCGACATGATCTTAGCGACGAACAACTATCCTCCAGAAACTTCATCCAATTCCCAAAATTAGTCTATATCAGAACTCACTGTCGCAAATGAGTACGTCAAATCACAGCCCTCTTAGGCCCACCGCACTGCGCTTCACTTCGGGTTGTCGGAAGCGCCCATCCGCCCCAGACCCCCAAAGCCTCAGGATAGGTACACGGTTTGCCTTACCGTCGAGCAAAAGCTCAGGCAGGTTTTGCGAACCAATGAATGCACGTGGACTACAACGACCAGTGTTTGCGACATGAGCGCCGGGCCCACAGGTACCCATACGGGAGGAAGTCAAGGGTGACGATACTTCGGTTACATGAGGGCCCTAAGGATGAACAAGTGTGTGCCGTAGAACACGCCTACGCAGGCGTAAGTGTTATGGGAAATGTTTGTGGCGATCAATATTGCAACGTCACAGATGGGGTGGGAGGGGCTACTCCTAACCTGGTTTCCATCGAGGATACGCGAATTTACTGCTGACTCGTTGCAACTGCGCTCTCCATCAACGGCAGAGATGACTGCGATATCGTACATCCAATCCTTTGTCATCAGCCCATCATGACGTGTCTCTGCCTTGATGACAACTATCGAACATTCTTGTCGGACACTTTGAATTCATCTGGAATGATCAAAATCAGACTCCCGTGGCATCATGACGACACTTCAACGACTGATCGCTCACACGAAAAACGTACATTGACATCAAAATCCACGAAACTCAATGCCTCAGCCGATATCTCTCATCGGATTTTACTGTGGAGTAGCGCCGTATGACGCTCGCAACAAGACAGAATCTGCACACCCACACTGCAAATGTCGATCGATGCTTGGACAATGTCATAATAACTGGCCATCAGTCGAGATCTGGAGTGCACGGAATCATCCGCGCAGATCGAACACATCAATGCGAAAATCAAACACAGCGGCAGATGCGTTGATCTTACCACCAACTATGTCATGTCAACGCGTAGCCCACACTGGTGATGACACATAATATCCACTAGCTGATCAAGAAGTGAATGATGCTCTCATTATACAGGACCATCCCTCGTGAGCAGCGAATGCTGCTGCTTCGTCGCTCGCGGATCTGTAAAGGAGATGTAAGGCGGAAGGAACGACCTCGCGTTTCATGTTCGTCGCTGCCAGAAGAAGCGAAATAAGGAGAGAACCGCATGTTACTGCCCAGACTGGAAGGAACCGCCGAGGTAAGAAGGTCAAGACCACGAATGCAGCCAATGCCTCGAAATGCAGAATATGCCATGTCATATCGATTCGCATTGTTACTCGCACAATTTTACCGGCTTCCAAACGCAAATACTACTCTGCAGCAGGAATCGCATCCAGCGCCCTCTTGAACGTCTCGACCAACTTGCTCGTCTCCTCCAACCCAACACTAAATCGAATCAAATCCGCTTCCACGCCCCATTTCGCACACCAGTCCAACTCGCCATAATGCGCCAAGATCACATACGGCGAGCTGAGCGTAAAGTTTGTACCTAGACTGGGTCCCTTGACGGTATCGAGGTTATCGAAGAAGGCGATTGCGTCGGCTTTTGTGTAGAAGGTGGCGGAGAGGAGGCCGCCGTAGCCACCGGAGGGGTTGCGGCATTTCTCGTAGAAGGGACGCGTTGGTGAGGTTTTGGGGTAGTTTACTTGTTTCACTGCAGGTGGTGTTAGTTGGGTGCTGGATGAGAGAGATCAGGTGTGGAAAAGGTACGTCCCTCGGGGATGTGCGCTGAGTACGTCGCAGATGGCTTCGGCGTTGGTGCCGATACGATCGATCCTCGAGACAAAGTCACGGCTGTTGCGCTCGAGGAAGATGCTGTCTTCAGCCCAGTGGTTGTCTTCGTAGTCTTCTTCCCATGTGCGCTTGAGGAGGGCGTAGTTCTTTGCGTTAGGGTTGAGCACAAGTCTGTGAGTTTTGTCTTAGTAAGTGTCTTTCGATAATGGTCAGGATTGGTGCTTACCCTCCACCCATGACATTGCTGTCTCCGCTGAATACCTTAGTCAGACTGCTGACGACAACGTCCGCATACTGCAGAACATTGACGTTGATGAAGTTGCCAATCGTCTCATCTACGACTACGCAGAAGTCGTACTTGTCGGCTAGTTTACGTATGCGCTCTAGGTCCGGGGATCTGAGTAACGGGTTTCCGGGGAACTCGGTGAAGAGGGCGACGAATCTCTCGCCACCTTCTAATCGTTGCTCGAGGTCGTCTAGCTCTTCCGATGAACCGAAGCCGTAGAACTGTGAACCAGGACCGAACTTCTCGGTGATTTTCAAGGTGTCGATGTATGGGAAGCTGAAGCTGTTAGAGTGGTACAGGCGCGGAGACTGGGGAGCTCACCCATAGACGATAGCCCTCTTTGAGCCCTTTGCTCTGAGTAGATTCCGGTGAGAGTTGAAAATGGAGCTCATTCCAGTGGGATACAGATAGACGTCATCTTCGGAGAAGCCTGCTACAGGCCTCTTCCTTGCCGCGTCATGATCCAGGGTCATTGCTTCTGCCAAGCTGACGTCTGCGGTTAATGAACCTGCAATGCGCCTTCGAATGGCCAACTTTGCATTCTTGGTTTTTGAGAGATCCAAGTTGCGTCCGAATCTTTCTTCGACGAACTGCGAAGGATCTTGCACTTCTCCGTTGCCGTTGGTGGATGTGTCCGAAGCGCCCAGGTCAATCGACGTCTGCTTCTGATACCGTCTGGGTCCTTTGCACACTCTTGCTGGCTGGTTGACAGTGGAAGCCTCTACCAAAACGCCCTCCTTGAAGAGCTGAGAGCAGTACTCTGCTCTACGACTTGAGACACCATCTCCGGAGTGCTGCCAAAATGTCTTTGCGATGCTGAAGCGATCTTTTGGGAAGAGGACGGCTGATACTCTCGGTGAAATAATTTGCAATTCGTCAGAGCGAGCTCTTTCAGCTGCCGGTACGAAATCCAAAATCCGAACTTGCGACGCATCCAGGTCTGGTGCTTGTCGTAGGAAGAATTCTTGACACCTCGATGCAGTTGCGTTTGTGGGGAACAGCATTGCACTCTCTCCCTCTTTGCCATGCTTGTCGACAATTGCAGCCGCAAAGGCTTGTATGATCTTGTGTATGAAGAATCTTGTCGTGGTTAGCATACGTTTGCCATCTGCCTCGCCACACAGTACCTAGGATAGCCAGTCTTCATTTTGCTGATGACCCATTCTTCACCCTCTTCATATCCAACGTTTGCCCGCCATGTCGGCAGTGACACACTAACGGCCTGCCTCTTATCAGCCTATGATATGGTAGTCAGGAGTGAAGTTGGACGCACGTGCTCAGTTGCCGGCGGCAGACTCTCTCCGACTTCTACATCGTTCTCCAGGACCATTGGCGACATGTTGCAAGCACGACCGAGAAAAGGGTGGTAAGGCAAGACTAGAGAATAGCGAAGACACCAGTAACGGGGCAGGTAAATGAGATGTAATGGCGCAATGACTCCAATTGCACCATGGCTTATTCCAAAAGCCGATTAGCTCCGACTTCGGCACTTGGGTAGGAAATTTAAGGTTATCGATAATGCAGCGTCACTGCCTCCGCGTCGCAGTGGCAGTCCGGAACGTCAGCGCATCCACATATGCACCCTCGACTGGGGCAGCTGAGCCCGTTCACGCTCGCACTGGCCCCACTTTGGCGTTGCTTTCTTCTGTAAGGGTTCAGCCTAGCTCTCGATAGCCAGACACCTGAGCACCGCGAGCACGACCATGGACAGCCTCACCCCTTCCGACCTCTTCTCGCCCTCCAAAGCGCGTCAGCAGCGCGCACAAGCCCAGGACTGGGCGCACATCGACTCATGGCTGTCGTACAAGTATGCCGGGCGCACGGTGCCGACGTTCGAGCGCAACGAGGAGACGCTCAAGGTCCTCCGCGAGCTGTCCATGGCAAATGAGCGCGCCGACGAGGAGAGGACCGTCATGGAGCGCCTGGAGAGGGAGGCATTGAAGGAGCTGGACGAGGTATGAGAACTGCAGGTCCGCATCAGCTGCCGCGCACCGAGCACCCGGCTCACGACGGTAGGTCCCCAGGAATGAAGTCGACGAACGCATCCTGTCCAGGCTGCAAGCGAGCCTTACCCCCGAAGGCGAGCAAGCGCTCAATGCACTCGCATCCACAGCTGTGGCTCTCAACCTACCGACCGCCAACCCCGAGAGCATCGCGCATGCTCTCATACAGCACACGACCGCCTCGCAGAACCTCACGAACCAGCTGCAGCACATCCACACACTGCAAAGTTACCTAGACAAGCAGCAAGCTCTCCTTCGAACCCAGCTCCACGAGCTCCAAACGAATCCCGCCTTCGCAACGCCGTCCAATCTCCAGCGCCAGACGACGGAGCAAACGCGTCAGGTTAAGCACCTACGCAACAAGATCCGCGAACACGAAGACAAGCTCTCGTCCCTCCAGTCGTCGCAATCGCGCAACATGACGCCGGGGTCCAAGAACGTTGGATCTGCCGAGGCTATAACCGACATGTTGGAGCAGCAGAAGGCTCTCGATGAGCTGCGAGAACGAGTAGAAGGCCTGGAGAAGCAGGTCGGAGAATTTGGTGGCCTGCCTGCGGACAAAGAGGCGGCCAGGAAAGAGGTGGGTAAACTGGAGGTTAGGCTTGACGAATTACGGAGGAGACGGGATGAGTTGTTCGAGGGGCTGGTAGGACAGTAGTGGTACAAGACGGCTATAGAGACTACGCTACCATTCGAATTCCATCTCCACCTACACGGGCGCATCCGTCAGCGGCACGTACTGCACACCATACAACTTTTGCCGCTCGAGACTTCCGTCCTTGTTCTTGTCGATGACATAGATATGCTGCGTCCCGCCTTCCGCGACCGGAACGAACAGCCGGCCCGGAGCTTTCAGCTGATCGGTCAACGCCTCGTGGTGCACAGCTGCTGCTGCCCCTACATGAATAGCGTCGTACGGCGCGCCCTCGGCCCATCCTTCTCGCCCGTCACCAGTCACAAACTTGATCTGGCCCGATTCCAGCATCTTCCGCCCCTCTTCCGACTTGCCCATATTCGCGTTCGCCATGTCGTTCAACGGCTGGATGTGATCGATGCCAATGACCGTCCCATTGGGCGCAACGAGGTTCGCGAGCACAGCTGTGAGGTAGCCCGAGCCAGAACCAACATCCAGGACTTTGGCTCCGGGTTGGAGGTAGTCGAGGAGTGACTCGCACGCTGAAGCATGCATGTGTGGTGCGGAGATAGTGGCCTTGTGCCCTATGGGTTGAGGAGAGTCATCGTACGGTTTGGCTGGGGCAAAGTGCGCGCGATCAACCTAGCGAGTGTTATCATACTTGAACATGTTGGCTCATCAAACACTCGCAGCCCTACCCGTAACATGGCATCTTTAACACGGTCAGACCGGATCAGCTTGTTCTTTACAAGGTTGGTAATCAGAGCTTCGTTAGTCGCCCCAGAGCTTCGCCAAGCCATGCTGAAAGCTTTACTCTGTGCAGTTACAGATGGGGGCTTGAAGAAGAGGGAAGGTCCGCGTACGCGGTTGAACTTAGCGGAAAGAGGCACCGTGGAAAGTAGTACTAGGGGAGCAAGACGAATGGAGATGATTGAGTTAGATAGAGATATGCTCATATAAATCAAAGACCAGGACAAGCTTGAGACTAACGCGATTATGTGTGTCAAGAGCTCATGATGCATGCATAGCAAGTACACCGGTGTACATGTGGCAAGCGCGCCCAGGTTACGAGCTCGTGGAGCTGTCAAAGAGGGGTGGGTGTGATGTAAACGCGCCATAACTAATCCCTGCTTATCGATAAGCGTCCGCTCCCAAAAGTCCCAGAGAAATTTCGCGTCGCATGCGCTCACACCTCACGAACCACGACCATGGCACCTCCCGCGACAAAACGGAGAAAGCTCGAGCACAGCGACTCGGAGGACGGCAGTGAAGGAAGTTTCGCCCATTTCGACGGCGACAACGGTGGAGTCGCGCTGGACGGCAGCGATGCCGAGGATGCGCTCGATCACAGCGATGCCGAGATGGACAGCGCAGAAGAGCTCCAAGACGACGATGACGAGGATATGAGTGGGGAGGAAGGAAACGACTTTGAGGAAGAAGAGGACGTCCATGAGAGCAGGAAGCAGACGACTGCCGGCAAAGCGACGAGCGCGTCCAAGCCGCCCAAGAGACCTGCGCCGAGCCTGCAGGACGGCGTATACACTGCGGAATCCTTCAAGTCGAACATGTTCAAGCTTCAGCTCGATGAGCTGCTCGACCAGGTCAAGCTGAAGTACGGCAAGAAGGAAGCTCCCGCAGAGAACGCGATGCGCACCCTCAAGACCATCATCGAGCAGATACCCACCCGCGAGCCATTGCCAGTATGTGAAGAATGATTCGGATGGGGTCAGTACAAGCTAATCAACCGTAGGTTGCTGAAGCCGAGAAGGCGCTCAAGTCAGCCGGTGTCGCGGTCCCCTTCCTCAGTCCTCGCCCTCCTAAAGACGCCCTCTACAAGCTGCAGTACGAACGACCTGCGAGCATCAACGCGACCGGCAGCTACCCACTCAAAATCGCGACTCGACACGACGAAGGCATGTCAATTGATCTAGTTGTGACAATGCCCAGAAGTCTGCTCACAGACAAGGATTACCTGAATCACCGGTACTTTTACAAGCGCTCGTACTATCTGGCGTGCCTGGCTGCTGGCATCAAGGCTTCGAAGGAACACAAATTTCAATTATCCTTCGACATCCTGAACGGCAACCAGCTTCAGCCTATCCTAGTTGTACGACCGAGCGGAAACGGCGATGCGGACGACTTCTCAAGCTCCAAGTGCCAGATCAACATCCTGGTCGCGGTACCGGAGAAAACCTTCCCGTCAAACAAACTGCTGCCCACCTCGAACTGCGTGCGACCAAAGGGTAGCGACGACGAAGCCTCCACCAAGACGCTCACTCCAACGCCATTCTACAACAACACACTGCAATCGGATGCCAACGTCACGGCTTACCTCAAGCTTCTTCACGGCACCGCCTCGAGAGCTGATGCGTTCAAGGACGCTTGCATACTTGGACGTGTTTGGCTGAAGCAGCGTGGCTTCGGTAGCCAGATTCGCAAAGGAGGTTTCGGAAACTTTGAATGGGCTGCGATCATGGCTATACTACTGCAGCCAAACGCTGGCACCGGTGCACAATCTGTCTCTTCAGGATTCAGCAGTTACCAACTGTTCAAGTCGACGTTGCAGTTTTTGTCCCGAGGTGATCTCACAAAGAAACCGTTCATCTTCCAAGCCACCAACATCACCATCCCGAAGGCAGAGACCGCCCCTGTCGTGTTTGACGGCCCTCGTGGACAAAATGTCCTTTTCAAGATGACACCATGGTCCTACACGCGTCTACGATCCGAAGCGAAAACTACCGTAGACATGCTCAGTGACTCTGTGTTCGATCACTTCGATGCGGCATTCATTCTGAAGACGGAGTTATTGAAGTACCGTTACGATGCCACACTTGAGATACCTCTTGCATCGCTTGGACTCGAAAACGCCGGTGAGGAATACGACCAACGCGTCAGCGAGACTTGCAAGAAAGTACATAATAGTCTAACTCGCGCGCTTACCGACCGCATCTCGGCTTTGTCATTCACCATGCCCGAAGAAGAGTCGTGGTCGATATCCTCGCGACGTCCACAGGATAAGCAAAGCAGAAGCATGCTTGTCAACTTCGCTACTGATCCCGCCAATGCAACTCGTACTGTCGACCACGGTCCTTCTGCTGAGAACAAACAGGAAGCTGCAGCTTTCCGAAAATTCTGGGGCGAGAAGGCGGAGCTCAGACGCTTTAAAGATGGCAGCATTCTTGAGAGTGTTGTCTGGGCCGTCAAAGACGCATCTGTTTCCGTGATCGAACAGATCGTACTCTACATTCTTGGCAAACACGTAGGTGAGAAAGTGGCGGAAGCAGCCAAGTTCTCGAGCGACTCGTTTGGACACCTCATCCCTGCTGGCCGCATGCAGGGACAATCTGGGACCGCGCCATTCTTGCCCATCATGAACGCTTTCAGTGCTATGGAGAAGGACATTCGAGATTTGGAAGAACTCCCACTTCGCCTTCGCCATTTGAGGGCCGCCGACCCACAACTTCGATATGCGTCTATTGACGTCCCAGCTGCAGGCCATGCTCCCGCTTCTGTCGTATTGCAATTTGAGGGTTCTGGTCGCTGGCCGGACGATCTATGCGCCATACAACGGACCAAGATCGCTTTCCTGCTCAGGCTAGCCGAGCTTCTATCGAAGCTTGAATCTGGCTACGTTGCTCGCGTGGGCATGGAAAATCCGTCACAACCAGCTCAGAACCAAGCATTCCTGGATGTTACCGTCGCTGCAGGCTTCACATTCCGTATCCGCATCTACCACGACCGTGAACCTACGCTGTTCGACCGCCAGATCAAGGATAAGTCATTGGATGGACCATCAAGAGAATCCGCTGCTGCATCTCTGGCACTGTACAAGCGCGAGTTTGTTCAGTCCCCTATGCATTCGCAGGTACTACAGACGTTATGTACCCGTTTCTTGGCCCTCTCGCCAGCCATACGGTTGATGAAGAAGTGGTTCGCATCGCACCTTCTGGCTCCGCACTTCTCGCCTGAGCTTATTGAGCTTCTCGTCATCCGCACATTCCTGCAGCCGCACCCATGGCCGGTACCCACAACCGCAACTACTGGCTTCCTACGAACGTTGTCTTGGATAAGCCGATGGGACTGGAGACATGTGCCATTGATAGTCGACTTCTCGACAACGTTCTCCGCAAACCCCGCAGATTTGGAGGACACCACATCCAAAGGTATGAAATCTGAAGATCTCGACCGGTTACGGACGCGCTTCGAAGCATGGCGTCGCATAGATCCAGCCATGAACCGCGTTGTGCTCTTTGCTGCAACAAATCTTGACGAAGAGGGCACAACCTGGACAGATAAAGCGAAGCCTGAGAAGGTTGTTGCTGCACGTTTAACGGCGTTGGCAAAGGCGGCTACGCAGGCTGTTCGAGCGGACGAAGACCGTCTGCTGAACCATATCAACAACAGCAAAGATGCTGCCAAGGCACAGAACACATTCTCGCCCGAAGCACTCTTCACGCCCAGCATCTCCGACTTCGACATCACCATAACCATCTCCACGAAACACACGCTCAAGCAAACCAAATCCAGCAAATCCACTCCCAAATTCAAGAACCTCGACCTCCAGAAGTCCACGACCAGCTCATCACCGGCCGCACCACCGCTCCCGCAGCTCTTCGCACAAGACCTACTAGAAATCTACGGCGATGCCGTGCTCTGGTTCTGGGACCCGGAGACACTAGACAAGATCGTTGGGCTGTGGAACCCAGTCGTTACAGCGCAGAGGAGTTGGAAGGTCAAGCCTGGGTGGAACAGTGTTCCCGTGGCTGGCAAGAAGGATGATGTTGAGATTAAAGCGAATAGAGAGGGTATTGTGCATGAGATCAAGCGGTTGGGTGGGGAGCTTGTTAAGAGCGTTGAGGTTAAGGCATAGTTTGTAGGGTGGTGGACGATAGTGACAAGACATATAGGAGATATTTCGAAGGAGTAGTTCAGTGGAAACAATACCCAAACCAAAGTATTCTTTTCGATGCAGGCATCACGGCGCATTGTTTACGCTAACATATCTCGCATCCTTAGTCCGCTATCAATACCACCATCTCTGCATATTACCAGGTATAATCAAGTTTCTTCCAACTTGGACACGGCAGCAGCCTCACCAGTACCAACAACACACGTGACGAAGGTCATAGCGTAATGTTTTAGTATACAGATTCCGTAGAGTTCGGCCGATGTCACGTGCGCGCTCCGCTCAATTGGGGGTGGAGGATTACGCCCGCCTCAAGTACCCGCTTCCTTCGTCTCTGGTGGGTTAGTGCGATCGTACGCCGTGTATGTTGTGCTAGATTACCATAGATAGCTGAGGGATAATTGGAAGGGTGAAGGGATTATATGGGGGGAGGAGCAAGGTATATAAGGTGAACAGTCCTATGGAGAGCAGGATAAGTAAGAGCAGCGTATTTCTTACAATGACTCCAAGTGACGATATGGAACGAACCACTCTTGAGACTACTTTTGGTTCCTTTGTGGGCGTGGAAGAAGATGGAGTAAGAAAGTTCCTCGGCATCAAGTATGCTGAGGTCAGGAATTGGCTCGCAGCGCCCGAACTCGTCACTTGGTATGGTAATCAAATCGTGGATGCTACACGATACGGGTAACTTGGCCCCTTGTTCTCCATCCCGCAGAACTGCATGCTAAGAACAACAGACCACGCGCCCCAGCACCAGACCTTTGCTCATTCGAGCAATCCACCTTGATTCAATGCACCATCGGTGCCGCACCTGAAACTACCATGTCCCATTCGGAGTGTCTCAATCTAAACATCACCGTCCCGTCTCTTCCCACAGAAACCGGCAGCGCCCTG